ATCCGTACAGGATCGTCGCTCCTTGTTAAGCGGTGCTGACAGGTAGGGAGTGATTCCAGTGGACTCAAGACAGAGTGGACAAGGCCCGGTCTGGTTAGTCGAACACAATCCTGCTCCTTGACAGTTTGGACGGGATTTCGTCTCTTCTGCTCTCCTCCCCCCCACCACCCCCTTCCAATTCTTCTCATAAATGTCTTTCCACATCAAGGCCTTGAGGAAACAAAGAGCTACTGGAAATAGCGAACGGTGTGTCTTCGGGGAGGCGGGTCTCGGGAAACGCAGAGCACAGGGGGAGAAAACGGACCCCGGAGTGTCTGAGACGGGCCTAGCTTCCCGTCAGCGGCCGGGTGAGGTTGGCAGAGAAATCAAGAAGATACATTTACGGGGGCCCGTTGCGGCTGAGGCTGACCTGACGGGGAGAAGCGCTGAGACAGACAGGGAGGAGGGGGGAAGAGCTTGCAGAGCAGATGGGAGAAAGGGGGGGAAAATGGAATCCGGCTTTAAGGAAAGATTCTCATCTGAGGGACTTGGTTTCAGACCCGGCTCAGCCCCTGAAGCAGGTTGCTCAGCTGGTCCACTTGTTTCGTCCTATTTGGGGGATATCTGGGGGATTAAACATGCAAGAACGAGACCCCTAAACAGTTGATAAGGGGAGAAAGGGGTGGGTTTTTTAAACAAAATTACAGAAGGAGAATTACAATGGTGGATCAGCTAGCAGGTTATTTGGAGACTGGCTGGTTTAAACGTTTTTGACTAAAAAGGCATCCTCAATTAGCCCAGCAATACCCTTTTTCGAAATGTTAGTTATTTTAATTATCAAAAAAGCTACAAGAAGAAGAAGAGGAAGAGGAAGAAGAGGAAGAGGTTGGATTTATACCCCGCCCTTCACTTGGAGTCTCAGAGCGGCTCACAATCTCCTTTCCCTTCCTCTCCCCACAACTGCGGAGAAGGACTTCCTTTGATCTTTTCTAAGCCTATTGCTCATGAGGAAAGGTTAAGGCGCTTGGGGCTCTTTAGCTTGGAGAAACGACGACTGAGGGGTGACATGATTGAGGTTTATAAGATTCTGCATGGGATGGAGCAGGTAGATAGAACGGATAAAAGGAAGTACTTCTTCACCCAAAGAGTGATTAACACTTGGAATTCACTGCCACAGGAAGTGGTGGGTGCTACAAGCATGGACGGCTTCAAAAGGGAATTAGATAAGCATATGGAGCAGAGGTCCATCAGTGGCTATTAGCCACAAGGTATAGACAGGGACTCTGGGGCAAGTGATGCTCTGTCATCTTGGTGCTTTGGGGGGTCAACAGTGGGATGGCTTCTAATGTCCTGGCCCCACTGGTGGACCTCCTGATGGCACTGGTATTTCTGGCCACTGTGTGATACAGAGTGTTGGACTGGATGGGCCTTTGGCCTGATCCAACATTGGCATCTCTTATGTTCTCATGTTCTTATGTTCTTAAGCAGCTTCTTGGGTGGCTTATTCAGTGGACCACCCCTGATTATGAGGACAATAGGGAGACCTAGGCGGTAAGTGGGTCAGAATTGTTGCAGGACGTAAACCTCTGTTTATGTCACCCCTCAGTCGTTTCAGCTTTCCAAAAATGCCATTTCCCGTGCTCTGCCGTATATCCTTTGCACGGGGTAGGTCTGAGGTTGCAAGGGGCCCCCCTTTGTGGATGCGCGATGACCTTAGTTCCCTGCCCCAATACAAGTTGCCTGTCGCTTTCTGTAACCGCTGTCGCTATTATCACGAGAAAACTATACATTGTAGGATGACTACCAAATATTCCCTTCAGGTGAATGTTTGGTGGCTTTGAAGAGCCAGTTTGGTGTACTGGTTAGGAGCATGGACTCTAATCCGGGAGACTTGGATTTGATTCCCCACTCCTCCATGTGCAGCTGCTGGTGTTCCCTTGGGTCAGTCACAAGTTCTCTCAGAGCTGTTCTTGAAAGAGCAGTTCTCAAAAGAGCTCTCTCAGCCCCACCTGCCTCCCAGGGTGTCTGTTGTGGGGAGGGGAAGGGAAAGGAGTTTGTGAGCCGCTCTGAGACTTCTTTGGGTAGTGAAGGGCGGGATATAAATCCAGTCTCCTCCTCCTCCTCTTCTTCCTCTTCTTCCTTCTTCACCTCATCCTTCTTCCTCCTCTTCTTCCTCTTCCTCTTCTTCTTCTTCTTCTTCCATTTTAAAGATGCTGCTTTAGTGAACTGATCTTGCCGTCTTCACAGACCTGTATGAAACTCTAAGGTTTTTTTCTTTTTTGTGCTGTGCAATTTCCTTTCTGTGTATCCCACCTGTCTCACCTGGTGTGGGTGGTTGTATCTCTGATAGCGACACAAGCTATATCCTATGTTTACTGGCAGGGCTGTGCTATTGCCAGCCTAGCAGTTAATAAGGGCAAGCTCTTAATTTTTTCCCGCTTCCAGTGTCCCCGCTGGCACTTGGATGGAAAGGGATCCCAAAGAAATCAGAACTAGCACGCCTATATATTCGTGCTGGAATGAAATCCCACATCTCTCCGGCTGTGGATTTAATTCACTTCACAACATCATATCGTTTTCTAAGCCGGGACCTTAACAGTCTTTGGAAGCACAGCCGCTCATCACTGAAAATACTTTCACCGTCCCACTTTGCAAAAGACACTGTGTTAAATGTATTTCTTTTGTTCTATTTAAAGCTTTTTCATGCCGCCTCTCTCACCCGGTCAGGATCCCCCAAGGAGGCACACATGAAAACGTGAAACATTCGAACAGTTAAAAACAGCATTTAAAAATTTAAAATAATTGACTAAGAACACAAACCAGCAATGCCAGAACCAGGGAGGAGTCCCAATAACCGTTATGAGGGGTACACCAGCCCAAACAATTTTACATACATAAATATCTCTTTTAGGTTTGTGAAAGCTCAGAAGGCTGTCATTTTCACAGTCTTTTTCTTATTTTCTTTTTTTGGTGTTGTTTTTTTTTTGGTGTTTTTTTCATATGTGCGTGTGTGTGTGTGTCCCTGCATGTGAGTGTGTGTGCACCTGGAATTCACGGCGACCTCTGGTGACTGACCCCTACTGGGGGCCTGGAGGCTATTCAGAGAGGTGGCTGGATAAAGCCTGCCCCCACCTCCCGCCTGCTGGTATTCCAAGAAGGTCTCATAAGAAACATAGGAGAAGCCAGTGTTGGATCAGGCCAGTGGCCCATCCAGTCCAACACTCTGTCACACAGTGGCCAAAAACACCAGGGGTCATCAGGAGGTCCAGCAGTGGGGCCAGGGCACTAGAACCCCTCCCACTGTTGCCCCCCCCCAAAGGACCAAGAATACAGAACATCACTTGCCCCAGACTGGGAGTTCCTATCTAGACCTTGTGGCTCATAGCCACCGATGGACCTCTGCTCCATATGTTTATCCAATTCCCTCTTGAAGCTGTCCATGCTTGTAGCCGCCACCGCCTCCTGTGGCAGTGAATTCCATGTGTTCATCACTGTTTGGGTGAAGAAGTACTTCCTTTTATCTGTTCTAACCCAACTGCTCAGCAATTTCACCGAGTGTCCCCTCAATTTCATTGAATGTCCTGTCGTTGGCTGTGGCTAATAGCCATTGATGGGTCTCTGCTCCATATGTTTATCCAGTTCCCTCTTGAAGACGTCCATGCTTGTAGCCGCCACCATCTCCTGTGGCAGTGAATTCCATGTGTATTCTTAGGGATTGGGGGGCTACAGTGAGTTCTAGAGTTCTGACCCATTGGCGGCCATCCCAGTGGCACCTGGTACTTTTGGCCACTGTGTGACACAGAGTGTTGGACTGGAGGGGCCATTGGCCTGATCCAACATGGCTTCTCTGATGTTCTTATGTCTGGGGCAGTGATGCTTTGTATACTTGGTGCTTAGAAGGGCAACAGCGGGAAGGTTTCTGGAGTTCTGGCCCTGCTGGTGGACCTCCTGATGGCATCTGGTATTTCTGGCCACTGTGTGACACAGAGTGTTGGACAGGATGGGCCATTGGCCATATCCAACATGGCTTCTCTGATGTTCTCTCACTATGATGGCTCATTTCTGTGGGTCAGGAGGGAAAAAAAGTCTTGCCTTCTGATCATATGCAGGGTAGCTTTCCCTCACCGCTCAGTAACCAGGTCTAGATGGACCCCTGCAAGAAAGAAGAGCAGCAGGAGGAAAGAGGGAAAAGGAATAATAGGACGGGAAGAACCAATTAAGGGTTTTTTAAAAAATAAAAGGGGAGGGGATGTGGGTGAGTGACAGGGAGAGATCCAAGAATAAGTAGCCACCAGGACTAGGGGAAGGATAGGTAAAAGATAATAGGAAAAAACAGGAAGGTGTTCAGGAGCTGGTGAAAGGTGACCGGGAGGTCTGTGGTGCCAGTTTTTATAAGGGCCAAGGAGTGTGCAGGAGGAATGCTGTATTTATTTGGTTCATCTATATCCCAGCTTTCTTTCCCATGGGGAGGGCGCAAGGCGGCTTGCATCATTCTTCTCGGTTGCATTTTATCTTCACTACATCCTTATGAGGTCAGTTATGCTGATATTGCGGGACTGGCCCAAGGCCACCCAGCAAGATTCCATGGCAGAGTGGAGATTCGGACCTGGTTCTCTCCGATACTCGAACCAATGCTCCCTCTAAGCTGTGGAATCCTGTGAGCAAAAAGTATACTTTGTGAGCAACTGGCATTAAAGTAGTGAGTGAGCAATTTGGCTACTGCATAACTTAGTTTGCTCTGAAGCCATCCTTCTTTTGTGAGCTGGAGGCTTAAAAACTGAGCTAGCTCACACTAACTCAGCTTAGAGGGAACACTGACTCTAACCACTGCCCCGTGCTGGCTTGCCATGCCATAGTTCATTGAAAGGAAGAGCATAAATGATGATGCTTCACACGGACACGTGTTTGGAGAGCTGCCCATTCCGTCAGCTCGGAAGGGATTTCGGCAGCGCCGAATAATCTTGTTAAAACGTTCACCGAAGTGAGTGGGTGTAATAACATTTGCTTTGCTCTCCACCCAGATCGCACTTCTGGACTCTCCGACTGCTTTAAGTATGGAGGAGAAACTTCAGCAGAATGAAGCAAGAGTAAGTTAACAGATTGCCAAAAAGTGTTCTGAATGGGGAAGAGGGTGAGAGTTTCTCTGGGTCGCTTAAGTCTGTGTGGAGCTGCCCTTGGAGTCTGTACGGAAGCTGCTGGTAGTTCAAAAAGTGATGGCATGGGTCTTTATTGGGATTTTCCACTGGGATCCTATTAAGCTGCTGTTAGGTCAACCACCGGGCCCAGTGCAAGGTGCTGGGTTTGACCCTTGAAGCCTTACACACACTGGGCCCGAAATCCTAAGGAACTCTCTGTACCAGTATTGTCCGATGTGGGAGTTGGAGTCTGCACAGGGAACCTTACTTAGGGATCCAGGCTTGCCTGAGGTTTGGCTAGGTGACCCAGGGCAGGGCCTTCTCTGCTGCTGCCCCCATCATTGGGGCGTCCCGGATGGGCTTAAAGATTTGTGTGTTCTACACGACCTTTATCTTAGATTAAGGGGTTTTATGGATATGTTTTCAGTGGCATTGTAGGGAAATCAGCTTCACCACTGGATATTCTAGAACTGTGTTTATTATTTTAATGCTGTTTAGGTTGTGTGTTTTTGTCTTATATCATTGACTGTCTTGGGGATTGGGTTCCCAACCTCCGGGTTGCACCTGGAGATGTTCCGTTGTTAATAGTTGATCTCCAGATGGGCAAGATCTGTTGCCCTGGAGAAAAAGGGTGCTTTGAAGGGTGGACTCTATGGCATTATACCCGGCTGAGGTCCTCCCCGCCACAAGTTCTCCCCTCCCCAGGTTCCACCCCCCCAAATCTCAAGAAATTTCCCAACCCAGAGCTGGAAAGCTTACTTGGGGACCCATTTTGTTGGTCGAGAGAAACCAACCTCCGGCAGTTTCTTTTTAAAAATAATTTAAAAAACGGAACATATAGTTTTGTTTTCCTGGCTAAATCAATAAGCTGTGAACTGTTGTGAATTATTGTTCACATTAGAAACTGCAAAATAGGTGCTAATTAGAATGTATTATTATAATTGGATGGTAATGATCCTCTTTTACCCTGCTGGGAAATCTTCTGCGCGAGAAAGTATTCGAAGCATTATTTTTGCATTGCCTTTCGTTAACCTTGTTTGCATGTTGTATGATTTGATTCGAGGTAATCGCTGCAAGTTTAATTCCTAGAAATCCAAACTGGATTTTACAATGGTCAGTCCCTAATCTAATGCAGTAATTAATTAGTTTTGCAGATGAAACTGTTTACTTTGCACACCACTTTTTTTAAAAAGCAGCTTTTTCTGTCAATTGAATAACTTTATTCTCTCAAACGGATTTCTTAAGAGGGGAGAGAAAAACCACCTCTGCGAGGAGTGTCGCAACTGCTAAAGTCACCCGTCTGACCTCCCTCACAGGGTTGTTGTGGGAATAAAATGCAAGGCAGAAGTGCACTACGTTAAAACTATAGATTTTCGTTCTGAATCATGCTCGGGATTTTTTCCCCCCCAGGTACAAGAGCTTACCAAAGAATGGACCAATAAATGGAATGAAACCCAGAATATCCTAAAAGTAAGACTCGTTTTGCATGTTTTATTTGTTTTAATGCCTGAACGTTTAATGTGGATTCCTGAGCTTTAAACTTCGGTTTGTGTAGAGTGGAGTCGGACACAGAACGCACAGCAAAATAATTTCGTTCAATATGGCTTAAAAAAAACCCCTCCAGTTGGTTAAATCTGATCGAAACCATCCTTTATTGGAGAGCTTAAGTTAAAATCTTAAGGGAGCATTTGATCGATGGATCTTTCATGGTGAAGAGCACCACAACAGCTGGCCAGGTTTCTGGGGAGGAAACAATTAGGTCCTTGAAAAGCGATTTAAAACGTTTAACACACAGCATATAAACACACTTTTATTTGCAGATGAGACCCTTGATGCTCGTTTACTGAACCCAAATCTGTTTAGAAGAACATCAGAAGAGCCCTGCTGGATCAGACCAGCGGTCTACCTAGTCCAGCATCCTGTCTCACACAGTGGCCAGCCAGTTCCTCTGGAGGTCCAGCAGCAGGGTGTAGAGGTCCAGGCCTTCCCCGATGTTGCCTCCTGGCACTGGGATTCAGAGGTTGACTGCCTCTGGACATGGAGGTTCCCTTCAGTCACCATGACTAGGAGCGACTGATAGACCTATCCTCCGTGAATCTGTCTGATCCCCTTTTTAAAGCCATCTGTCCCTGTAGCCATCACTACATCGTGTGGAGTGCTTGCTTCTGAAAAGTTTTAAAAGATTAAACAGGTGTAGACAGATTGCAGGGTTCATGAAGACATCAGATTTTTAATTTGGATATTTCCCCTGCTAGCATATTGTTGTTTGTTGTGTCCTGTTACCCTGACTAGAGGTGGGCACGAAACAAACTACGAAGCAAAATTCAGCGCGAATTTTTCCCTGTTCCTGGTTTGCGAACTTCCATGAACTTTTAAAGCGGTTCGTGGTAGTTCATGGATGGAGTGGAAAGCAAGGGTTTAAAGAGACTCCGCAAAAGCCGCAGAAACAGCCGAGACACAGGAAGACGTACCCCACCGCCCACCTGTTTCAGGCTGTCTTCTGCAGTCTCTTTAAAATTTAAAAGGACTGAGGAAGACAGCTTGAGAAACAGCTGCACGGCAGGGAGGCATTCCCCGCTGTGCAGCTGTTTCGGGCTGTCTCGTACAGTCCCTTTAAAGTTAGCGTTATACGGAAATTGCCAGAAGTGTTGTTGGTCTGCTAGAGGAGAAAAAAATTACACACCGACAGTAGCATAATAGAGGACTGGAGGCACAGAAGAGCATATGGCTGTTGTCCTTTTGGTAATATATGTGCCAGCAATGTTTTGGGGCTGACTTCTAGTTTTAATCAGAGAGCACACAGGGTTTCTTAGGCAGCAGAGAGCAGAAGCAAAGGAAAAGATAAGATTGCCGTTTGTCATACCTCTGGTGGGGAAATGCAAATGTCCAATGCCTCGTGGTTTCACTGCCACAGGAGGTGGCGGTGGCTACAAGCGTGGACAGCTTCAAGAGGGAACTGGATAAACATATGGAGCAGAGGTCCATCAGTGGCTATTAGCCACAAGGTGTAGATAGGAACTCTCGGTCTGGGGCAAGAGATGCTCTGTAGTCTTGGTGCTTTGGGGGGGGGAACAGTGGGAGGGCTTCTAGTGTCCTGGCCCCACTGATGGACCTCCTGATGGCACCTGGTATTTTTGGCCACTGTGTGACACAGAGTGTTGGACTGGATGGGCCATTGGCCTGATCCAGCATTGGCTTCTCTTATGTTCGTATGTCCGGGGCAAGTGATGTTTCAAGAGGGAATTGGATAAGCGTATGGAGACGGCAGATTTTAATCGAATCACATGTTGAAGTTTAAGCGGATGGGGGGGGGTACAGGCTTTGGCAAATAAAATGCAAGTCGATGAGACAGGCAAAAAGGGACTGTGCGGAACATATTGCAGAATACACAAAGTTCAACAATAAAAATTTGAAACCGAAAACCCTCAGGCTGGGGCAAGGGATGCTCTGTATTCTTGGTGCTTGGGGGTGGTGCTTGGGGGGGGGACGACAGTGGGAGGGCTTCTAGTGTCCTGGCCCCGCTGGTGGACCTCCTGACGGCACCTGGTATGTTTGGCCACTGTGTGACACAGAGTGTTGGACTGGATGGGCCATTGGCCTGATCCAACATGGGCTTCTCTTATGTTCTTATGTGGTTCGTTGAAGAGACGGCAAGCCTGTTCTGTTCCGTGTTCTAGCTCTCCTTTCGATTTAGGCGGGAGTTGCAATGAACTCGTTTGCTGCAATCCCATTCAGGTTATTCCCCATCCTGTAGCTTCATTATCCTCCTCCCTCTTTGATGCACTTTGTAAAAACGAGGTTTGTGGAAGCTTAAATCATAGCATGTGGCCAACGCCGTTGTACAGATTTGGTTGTCTACACCTGGGCCAGCTCTGGGCTGTTAGGTTGGTGGGCGCTTCAGCGAGCCCTTTCCAATACCTGCCTTAGCAATAGCGAGTTGCTTTTCAAGAAGAGCTTGTTGGATTAGCAAAGGCCTGGTGAACTTCTGTACCCCCATCCTGTTAAAGCAAATCCAAATTCCAGTACAGGGGACCCCAGCCTTTTTGAAACTGCGGGCGCTTTTGGAATCCTTGCACAAGGTGGTGGGCGCAACAATAAAATGGCTGCCGCAGGAGGCGGAGCCAGCTCCGAAATGTCGGCGAGTGTGCTTCTTCATAACTCTCCTAGTAACTCTTCAATATTTAAGATCTGCACAGCCAATCAAAAGCCCTACTGGACAAAAGCCCCACCTGGCCCCACCCACTTTCTAGAAACAGGAAAAGTGTTGGTGGGCACCATGGTGGCCATGGTCAGTATGCTGGAGAACCTTGACCTAACCAATTTCCATAAAATAATTTCCAAGGGTGTTTTGATGAGAATTTTGCAGCTGGTTTATTAGCATCCAAAATTTATAGATGGGTGTAGCTAACGGGAGGAACTTGGAGTGAAAGTGAAAGCATTAAAGAATGATTTTGCTGCTTTGGATTAGAGTCCGCGCTCTTAACCACTACACCAAACTGGCTCTCAAGAGGAAGAGTTCCAACCTGCACAGCCAATCAGAAGCACTGCTGGATCCAACCTCCACCTGGCCCTGCCCACTTTCTATAAAAACACTTTGTGGGCACCAAGAAAGGTGTTGCTGGGCAATGTGGAGCCCGAGGGCAACACGTTGGGGACCCCTGCATTAGTGCTTGGCGCTAATATATTGTGCTCTGTCCTTAGTTAAGAGCCAAGGAAGGAAGAAACTGATTTGGGATCCACCGGTCTCTTTTACACCCTTACCCACCATGACACATCAAGGCATGGATGATTCAACAGGGTGTTTACTTTCCCCCCAGTTTAACTCTGTGTTCCACCCCTCTTTATTCTGCATCGGAGGGCAGTGCCACAGTTGCTGCTGGGCCTGTTGTTCGCTTCCCAAAAAAGTCTCACAGAATCGTATGCCACTTTCTCCCCCCGCCCCAAGCTGTCCCGGTGCCATTTTAGAAAATACAACCAGCGAGAACCACGGAAAAAGATCAAAACCAAAGCAAAAATACTGTGGACAATAACAAAAAACAATTCTCTCTCTCTCTCTCTCTCTGTTGTTGGGAGGGGAAGGGAAAGGAGTTTGTAAGCCGCTCTGAGACTCCTTTGGGTAGTGAAGGGCGGGGTATAAATCCAATTTCCTCCTCCTCCGCCACTGTCTCCTCCTCCTCCTCCTCCTTCTCCTTCTCTCTCTCTCTCATAGAAAGTGGAAAACATATCAACTGTAATCTCTCTATAAATATAAAAGCCAGTTGGGGTGGCAAAGTTCCATGCCCGGCAAAATCAGCTCCCTGATATGTCACTCAGAAACTGTCCCTATCCACTACCTGCGTTTCCTGAGGTCTCTCCCACCCACTGCAGCCTAGGCCACTCTTCTCTGATTGGGCCAGCATTTCAAGGTCATTTGCATATGGAAGCTGATTGGACTTCACTCTATTCTGCCCCTCAAACTCCCCCCCCCCCACAAGA